GTAAGTGCTATTCTATTTTTTACAATTTTACTTTATATTGGGTTTATTCTATTTTTCTTTTTTTATTGTATAAAGTTTTTCCTTAGTTTTCGATTTTTCATACTTGAACTTTAATTTCTGTCTCAATTGATCGTTTATAAGAAAGAGTAACCAAATAAGTTAGAGGACTTTAGTCTTGAAATATGAAAAAGAATAATAGTTTTTAAGTAGATTTTTTTGTTTTTAGCATTTTTATAAATTCTTTTTTATCGAAAGTTCATAATTAATGCAAGCCATTTAACAGTGTAGTCGGTTGCAATTTGTAAATGTCATTACCTGAAATTTATGACCTTATTCTAGGGATGTTAATTTTGCACATAAGGGAGATATACTGGCTATTAGGAAATTCATAAATTTTAATTTGTTTTCAGTGGACATACATACGAACACAACTATATTTGAGCTCTTAAAAGTTAACAATAAGTAATTTTTCATAATCTCAAATAAACTAATTAATTGCTTGTCTAGACAAATTTTTGCTGAATATTATTGACGTTTTATTGCTAATAATTTCACAAATTTCTTTAAGCTATAATTTTGAACAACAATCTTCATTTTTGTATCTTCTATTAAAGAGATAGATAGATAGATAGATAGATAGATAGATAGATAGATAGATAGATAGATAGATAGATAGATAGATAGATAGATAGATAGATAGATAGATAGATCGATAGATAGATAGATAGATAGATAGATAGATAGATAGATAGATAGATAGATAGATAGATAGATAGATAGATAGATAGATAGATAGATAGATAGATAGATAGATAGATAGATAGATAGATAGATAGATAGATAGATAGATAGATAGATAGATAGATAGATAGATAGATAGATAGATAGATAGATAGATAGATAGATAGATAGATAGATAGATAGATAGATAGATATAGATAGATCTATTCACTGTTTCAGTGTTTGACCTCTTCGTCTTACTTCTGTAATAGTGGAATATTCATTTTAGCTTTAATTTCAAATCTATGAAAGTCCTCGGTTAAAAGATTTTCTAAAAATTTCTTCGTATTTCATGTATATTTCCAAATTATCGAATAGAGCGAAATTAGAATTAAGTTAGAGTTGAACTGATTATGGTCTCTGGTGGCAATTGGAGCTTTGATTGGAAGAGAAAGACTTATGATTTAATTTGATTAAAAAACTATTTCTATATTAAAACTTTAACATGTACATATTTTTTCATATTAACTAAAATCTTTTATTTTTCGTGACACAACAGAAAAAAACTAAAAATAAATAGAAAAATGCCAACTTAATTTTAATTTTTCACATTTCCTACGTAATAAGGAATTACATAAAACTGTAATTTCCCGCAACACCTTGTCTTTCAAAAAAAAAAAAGTAAAATACTAAACGAAAACACAAGTAGGAAAAAAGGCAGAACGAAAATTGTTTTATGTACAATATCCTAATCAAATTTGTCACATTTTCAATTTCCCTCCCAACAATCGGATACAAGAAAAAAAAACCTAAACAACATAGACTGACATGCAATTTAAGACAAGACAAGACAAAAACCAAACCAACCATGCCCTCACATACCATATCCTGCCATCCCATGACACCCATTCATATACCAAAAAAATAGTCAGCCAAGCCAAACCAACCAACATTATTATGGTTAAAATGGTATGGTGGTAACTGCCTTATTATAGTCTTATTCATACATTCCTTGCCTCGTTACGACATTCGTCTGTCTGTTCATTCTATTCATTATTACTACGAAATTTAACAAGATGATGATGACGACAACGATGAAGAAATACTATATAAAAAACTGAGCCATAAAATACGAAACTTTTTTAACAGCAACAGTTTGCTGCCTAAAGCCATTATGATGCAATGAAATCCGTACAAAAAACAAAATTAAAAGAAATGGAAATTCTTTTTCAAAAAAATAAGACATTTCTAGGTAATAAAGTATATGTATAAGAAAATGTAAAGAAAAATATTCAAAATTTTACTCTAGAATATCGCTTAACTTAAACAAAGCGCTATTATACTGCGAAAATTGAAAGCTGTTGAGAAAAAAATTAACTAAATGCGAAAGAACGAAAGAAAAAAGAGCTTAACAGTTGATATCAAGAGGATTTTGTTTAACAACACTGATTTAATTTAAAATCACTTTGTAGCATCAAATTTAAATTGCTAAAATAAAACACGCATACGCACACCACCGCCCCCTCCAATAAATTCGCAACCACTTTAGCATTCAAATCACACAGATAGAGCAAAGTAAAAGGACCTGACTATTTCGTCTTCTTTACTCAATGAAATTATTGTACAGAATACTTACTTACATACGTAAAGCATAAAAAGTCAACAAGATTATGTGGAACTGCTCCTACTTCCTCCACTCCTCCTCCATGTTTTGCTACTGAATCTTCTGTTCATGGAATAAATATGAATTTTAAATTCAATTATTCAATTAGAGCCAGTGCAACGGAAGCAAAAATAATAATAATTTTATTTTCTTGGGCAGAAATGGAAAACAACAACAACACCAACCAATAAAGAATCTACAAAGACATTAAAACCGAGTGGGCGTTTTATTCATTCATTTTAAACAAGACAAATAAATGTTGTCAATATTAAAAGCACGACATGTAGAAACTGTTCACCATTCCAGTATTTCTCGTTTGGGTGACATTGCTGTTTAGAGTAGCTTCCTGCTAGAGTAATAAAAAACATCGGTGACAACATTTTGGAATTAGTTTAATGTCATTAATTTTAAAAAAATTTCTCATAAATATTTAGAAGTTTCACGGGTCTTAATGGCAAATTAACATCATGCTATTTGTTTTTATTTATTAAATATACTTATGTATCCTAAAAGTGGAGTAAAAGGCATAATAAAGCATCTGAGGTGTTTTATTTTTCAAACTAAATTAATTGATTGAATCAGATTTGAACTAGAACTGAACTAGAACAGAACTAGAACTGCACTAGAACTGAACTAGAACTGAACTAGAACTGAACTAGAACTGAACTAGGAACTGAACTAGAACTGCACTAGGAACTGAAACTAGAACTGAACTAGAACTGAAGCTAGAACTGAACTAGAACTGAACTAGAACTGAACTCGAACTGAACTAGAACTGAACTAGAACTGAACTAGTACCAAGAACTAAACTGAACTAGAAACTGAAAACTAGATCTGCAACTAGACTGAACTAGAAATCTGAACTAGAAACTGAACTAGAACTGAACTAGAACTGAACTAGAACTGAACTAGAACTGCAACTAGAACCTGCAACTAGAACTGAACTAGAACTGAACTAGAACTGAACTAGAACTGAACTAGAACCTGCAACCTAGACCTGGAACTAGATAAGAACTGAACTAACTGAACTAGAACTGAAACTAGATAACTGAACTAGAAACGAACTAGAACTTGAACTAGAACTGAACTAGAACTGAACTAGAACTGAACTAGAACTGAACTAGAACTGAACTAGAACTGAACTAGAACTGAACTGAACTAGAACTGAACTAGAACTGAACTAGAACTGAACTAGAACTGAACTAGAACTGAACTAGAACTGAACTAGAACTGAACTAGAACTGAACTAGAACTGAACTAGAACTGAACTAGAACTGAACTAGAACTGAACTAGAACTGAACTGAACTGAACTGAACTAGAACTGAACTAGAACTGAACTAGAACTGAACTAGAACTGAACTAGAACTGAACTAGAACTGAACTAGAACTGAACTAGAACTGAACTAGAACTGAACTAGAACTGAACTAGAACTGAACTAGAACTGAACTAGAACTGAACTAGAACTGAACTAGAACTGAACTAGAACTGAACTAGAACTGAACTAGAACTGAACTAGAACTGAACTAGAACTGAACTAGAACTGAACTAGAACTGAACTAGAACTGAACTAGAACTGAACTAGAACTGAACTAGAACTGAACTAGAACTGAACTAGAACTGAACTAGAACTGAACTAGAACTGAACTAGAACTGAACTAGAACTGAACTAGAACTGAACTAGAACTGAACTAGAACTGAACTAGAACTGAACTAGAACTGAACTAGAACTGAACTAGAACTGAACTAGAACTGAACTAGAACTGAACTAGAACTGAACTAGAACTGAACTAGAACTGAACTAGAACTGAACTAGAACTGAACTAGAACTGAACTAGAACTGAACTAGAACTGAACTAGAACTGAACTAGAACTGAACTAGAACTGAACTAGAACTGAACTAGAACTGAACTAGAACTGAACTAGAACTGAACTAGAACTGAACTAGAACTGAACTAGAACTGAACTAGAACTGAACTAGAACTGAACTAGAACTGAACTAGAACTGAACTAGAACTAGAACTAGAACTGAACTAGGACTGAACTAGAACAGAATTAGAACTGATTTCACAAGCCTCCATATTTCGCGTCATACCAAATACAAGAGCTACACATAATTCCTTAAAGTCAACAACTTCGGTTGCCTCCATATGGTTTACAAAATAATTAATAATATTGTCCTTTTCTCCATTCTTTTAAATGCAATTAAGATATTCGTCTGAAAGAAAATAATCTCAAAAGAATTATTTATTAAAATTTCAGTTGAGAAACGACTGATGATAATTCTTATTCCTCCTTTCTTCTCTTATTGTGGCGTTTTTAAGTAGACTTACAGAAAATATTTTTGCTTTTGAAATATCTCTGCAGTGTTTAAGGAAATTAAGAATACTGGTCATATATTGAATACTATTCCAACACATTTTGTTCTTTATTTTATAGATTCTTAAATAATTTAGCAAACAACCCAGCAAAAAGGAGGCTTGAATAGTTTTTAAATGAAAAAAAAAATTAGTTGTTGTTTGAATAAATTTTACATACAAATTTCAATACTGTAAAAGCAGTTAACGGAAGAACTCATCACTAATAAGATATGTACTGAAGAGTTTAACTTACACGAA